ATGTACATGCCTTTATTTAGACCTCTATAAATGCCCTTTGCCTCCTAGCTCTGTCCTCTATTTCCTTTGACTTTCCTCTTGTCCCACTATCATGCTCAGTCTTCATTTGGGTTTCAGTAATTCCTCTTGGTTACATTACCTGTGTAATGTAACCCTACCAGGCCTCCAATATCCTCCTCACCACCAATTTGGATCACTTGTTGTTCCCTTGTCCCTGGGTTAACCTTCCTGCTCACTCATTTTGCATCCATTGCTATTTGCCCAAGTCCTGCCTGTTTGTCTGCCTTTTCAACAAAGGACAAGGGGATGTTTGTGCTTTGAAGTTGATAATTCAATTTAAAGTGTTTTCCTCTCCTCCCCAGTGATTGGTTGAACAATCCACATGGTGTCTTTGGGAAGGAGTTGAAGGCTGACTTCTCACTCCTTAACGCTGTCAGGTTCTCTCTCAAGCACTAGCTGGCCATTTTGTTGCTTCTAGGAACCTATGTCCTCAGTATGTTATGATCAAATGAAAAAAAAACAAAAAAAAAAAACCCACCCCAACTGAATACAAGGTGAAATAGCAAGCTTTCTTTTAGCCAATGGGGCAGTGAATCCCCTGGTTTCTTATCAAATGACACAGAGGAGTACTTTAATTCCAGCCTAAAGATCCAGTTTCTGACTCCCCTGATGGATGACTATATCTGGATGCCTTTCCCGGTTGTACTGTAATCAACAATGTTCTTCTCCATTATTGTTTCCACCAGGGATGGTCATAAAAGCTGCAGTCTAGTTTGAGGGTCTTCCAGGAACCAGGCTCTTTACAAACTTACTATGGTATCACACAACAGGCTGGAAGGATGACTAGCATCGCCCCCATCATCCAGGAGATCAAAATGAGACTTTTTGGTCCCTCACTACTCAGGGACACAGAGAGAGCCAGGCCTTCAATCTAGGTCTAGTGCCGCCTGCTCTCATCTCTTCACTACTCCACACTGCTTTGACCACAAAAACCTATGTGGTCGAGGTGGGGAAGGGATGGTGGTAAATTCCGAGAAATTGAGCTGTAAAGTTGTACTCCTTCCTATGCTTCTTTGAAAAAATATTTTTAATAATGTTTGTTCAGGCAGAAGTTGAAGGTGTTTGCAAATATGAATGTTTGGCATTGCAATTGTCCACTACTCTCCTCTATAAACACAAATCATTAGATTGATGCTGATTTGATTAATTCAATGGGAGAAGCAGCCAATTTTTTTTTCTTCCCAAAGGGAAAAAGGCTTGGAATGAATTCTGCATTTAATTATGTCTGACTGAATTGAGATCTGAAGCCAACTCTGCTTGTGGCTTCTCTCTCTCTGTGTGGCTTGGCTGAAGGCGTTGCCAGCCATCTACATGGTCATGTGAAGATTTCTGAGTGTCAAAAAAATTCCAGACTGCCCACTTTAGAGGCATCCTAATTGCCTCTCTAAAGGCTACTAATATTGTAATATAGGATTTCAAAAACTGACTTCTGCTGTAGGCTCTCTCTCTATTTTTTATACCGGCCCTGAAAGAATTAACAGACTCACATTAATATTATCGATTCAGGCATTCAGCAGGCACTCAAAAAGTGTTTTTGCTTTATCTTAGTAAATAAGTAATTCCGTCATACTCTACCCAGTAGAGAAAAAATCAAATCAGACCAGCTACATTGCCTCAAGTATAGTTAAGTTCATAATTTTTGCTGAGGTTGTACTAGGAATGCAATATACCATGGAAGAATCTAATATTCAGCCCAGGGTGAAGATTGGGTATGCCAGAGGATTAGTGTCAGGGTGCTTTATAGAAGTGAAACTTGATGGACAGGCTGGAGACAGATCTACAGAATCTCATTAAATGGCTGAATTGTTCATTACGGAGCGTTCTCACTGTAATAAAGTGCTCATTGACTTTGACAAATCCCCATCCCATGTCTTAAAAGGAGAACATTGAAGGAAGGGGTGTTCGAGAAGAGAAAGGAAATTGGTACGAACGAGGGCAGGTAGTAGAAAGCTGAAGGAGGGGTTACCATTTGATTAAATATGTGCCACCGGCCACCAGAGTGTGAGCCCAGTAAACACCTATGTACACATTTACACACGTGGCTCTTCCTCTACCTATTGATAATGAAACCTGAGACATCCCCTCCGTTTTATCCCCTTCTGAAAGGTCTGATTTTCATTCTTCACCCGTCTTCCCGAGGTCTGGCTCTGAAGATCTGTCATCTGAATCTTCAGATTATCCTGACTGGACACACGCTTTCTGCCTCTGCCCTGCTGCCTCTCTCTCACCCGTGCCCGTCTTTGATACAGTGTGCGGCAGGCTGCATTAGCCACTCTGTGGATCTGGGAACCCGTGAAATCCCTAAAGATTACATCACATACCTGCTCCTTTTTTTTTTAATCTGACCTTTTTTAACTTTATCATCAAACTTACCATCTCCTCTCTCACAGAGGGCCCTTCGGTCCCTCCCAGACACGTTTTTTCTTTCCCTTGCACAGCCTGAAACGAAGTAGTCCGTTGGCTAACTCGCTCTATATTCAGAGGGAACACAGGGACTCGCAGCTCATACACAGCCGAGATGTCGAAGGACACGGAAATTCTTTCAAGCAATACTCCTTTTCTCTAATTCAGTTCAATTCTTCTCAAAAATTGGGTCTTAAGTTTCAAGACCAGCAATTCCTTGGGTTCCGGGAGGAAATAGCAAAGAGGTCACAGTGTCCGGAGGAAAGGGGAGATTGAGAATGAGCCCGGGGAGGAAGCGTGGCACCCGGGGTCACTTGGAATCGTGACTGGGAAAATCTCCACCAGTTTTAGTTTGCTTTGGGTTTTAGCCCTCGGTGCGGACGTTGTTTCAAGAAGGTCCTGTTAGATTTCTCCTGTTGGCGTCAATAGACAGTGTCTGGCTCCGTAGCGGGGTGTCGGCCACACACGGGAAGTGGAAGGCTCAAACCCTCCCCACCACTGTCATGCACTGGGTGTATCTTTCTTTTCATCAAGGGAGCGCCTAGTAATTCGCAGGCTTGTTTTGGTTTGTTCCAGCAGTGTAAGATCTCTGCCCCTTCTACTTCAGATTCCCTTTCACCGGAGAGAGAGCCGCAGCGAGATTGATTCTGTCCACAGCTTATGGAAAAACCCCGAGTTTCGTGTAAGCTCTCACGATTGTGAAGAGGGGAGAAGGCGTGTCTCTCCATCGTCCGTATTTACTGAAGACTGCCGAG